AATGCACAGTTCCCAATATAGGAAAAATGCTTTCCATCGACATTATGGTAGCTATTTTTCTACTACATCTTAGTTATTTTATGTAGTGAGCTGCTAGGCAGCTGGGAATAGTAACTGTAGTAATTAGCTGCAATTTCTTAGGTAACTATACGCTAGCTAGGAAAATGCTTTTAATTGCTGTTTAGAGACTTCAAACTTCATATTAGGAGCTACTTTCCCCTTTGTGTCATCTAAAGTTGATAAACTCTCTGGTTAAATATTAATCTAATGTATAATTGAATAAACCACTTTAAATATTTATTGTTTTGGTGAAAATTAAATTAAAAGTTTACACAGTTAGGAACATTATGACAGTATGTGGATCAATTCAAGAAGAATGGCCTTTCATAACAGAGGTTAATGGAGTTATTCTCATTTGTACTATGTCTTTTTGAGGTGCATTAGGATCGCACCCTGTATCTTTGTCAGATTTCCAAGATACATATCTCTCAGAGTAGAGTTACATTTTAAACTTCCTCTGACAGTCAGATTGACTCTAATAAATGCCATCCCTACCAAGATTATCTGTGCCCATGTTCTCCTGAGCTGCTTCAGCTGAAGATAATGGATGGATCAGAGAAACAAGGCACAGGGCTTCAAGGATACTTATTTGTTTTGAACCAAGATGCTCATTCTTGTCTTTAAATACACCTACGATATAATAACTATACACTTAAAAATGGCTTCTTATAAGCAGAGAATCACAGATCTGTAAGACTCCTGCTCTTAAATTTTTGTGCAACTAAACTTGGAAATGCCCTGTAATGAGTTTTTTAAATTCTCTCTGATTCTGGAAGTTTTAGTTGCCTGGTAAACTGAATGAAACAGGACATGCCTGAAAAATACATAAAGCTCAATCTATCCCTGATGAATATTCCTGAGTGAACAAATTTAAATTAAGAAGTTATTTGAGTGGCAGGGTGATCTGGGGAGAAGGACAGAGTAAGGTGGAGGAGACATTCAGCTCTTTCATGACTCTCTTTTACGTTAGCAGTATTGAGCCTGTGAAGTGCCAAATCTGAAACAGACAAAGCCACTAATACATTCTTCATCCCAAAGTGATCCTGGTTTAACCAGATAATGTTTAACCAGAAAAATCCCTAATAACCATTAATAAACATTTTCTTTTCGATAAACAAAAAAAGTCAACTACAGACTTAAAGTCAGGCAAAATGAAAACAAAGTTATAATCGTGTACTTATTTTCACAGAAAAACACTGCAAAGGTGTGTTGTAATATTTTCACTTGAATATTGCAGGCTTGTCTTGTTGCTACTACAGTTCATGATTTTCTTTCTCTGATGTTAAATGATGTAAAAATCTGCCACTACTTCAGCCAACAACAGCTAGATACTGCCAGTGGTTTACCTGGGAGTGCAGAGGATTGAGTATTTTTGCCTTGATAAAGAATACACTTCTGTCCTGGTTTGAGTTAGAACTAATTCTGTTCATATAGTGATTACTACTCTGGGCAATGTCTGTGCTTTTAGTTTATACTGCTTCCAGCAGTAGGCATTTCATTGGAACCTAAATTTTGGTATTGTGAGTATAATGTATTGAATATTTCAGTGTCAGGCTATTCCATGGGGCACAGGTGCACATTGATAGGTGCATGCACACATCCTCACTTTGCAGCTTTGTAACCAGACCGCAGGTGTTCAGCTTTCAGCTTGTGTCTTACTAGTAGAACAGAAAAATAGCCTTTCCCTGCCTTTTGCTTCTCCAAAACAAATTGAAAAGTAATCCCTTTTCTTTTCAAATGGGTGCGAGGCAAAGATTCAAGAGTTAGATTTGCCCCTAAAGGGTTTGTACAACCTGCAAAATCAGCAATGAGAATGTATGAACGGGAATTCATTGGCAGTTTGTTCTTGGTAGAATTTGCATTAATTTGAGGGCTTTCTTTGCATGACAGCTTTGCTGTGCTTTGTTATCCATGGAAAGATAGTTTGAAATCTCCACTTCAGAGTCTAATTAAGAAAGCTACAAATATAATTTCACAGCAATTAACCTTCACTGACTCTTCATGTCACTTACAGTATGAATCTAAGAGCAATATTTCCACAATGGCATTTTAAAAAGGATTTTAATTAAGGATCAGCTCTGGAACCTTTCCTGACAGAATTGCTCTCATTATCTTCATTCAATTTTTTCTTTTGAGTAAAGACAAGTAAGACTTACAGGATCAGGTTAACAGCTGTAACTGTTGTGGAGCAAATCACTGGTTTTATTTTATATACTATTCCTATACACTAACTTCACAGGTAATAAAATTAATAGCGGATTAACCCCTACTTATTTTTTGTCTTACAAATGAGGTAACAAAGCGATCAAAACATTTAGTGAACTGTCTCCTAAACCCTAAGCCTAAACCCTTACTGAGCCTGAAAACAAGCTCTATCATTCTTACAAATATTCAAACCCTTGTGCATATTGAAATTCTAAGTGCACCAGGGTTGGCATATGGATGATGTCCACAACCAGGCAAGAAAGACCCTCCTGACTGGTTTTCGTCTAGGGTCTAGCCAGCCTTGGGTGGGAACTGACTAGGAGATCACCACCAGGTGCCCCCACCTTTCACATTAACTTGGAGGTGGGGCAGGAAGCCACCTCTATAAGAGCTGACTCCAGTTGTAGGGCAGTTGGGAGGTTTGCTGTTAGTGGTAACCCCCAGTGGATGTGCTGTGGGGGGATTCTGGTTATTGAAAGGGCTCCCTGACTCATCATAGCAAGTGAAGCTCCCAGGATGGTGGGGCAAGATCATGAGTCTATCTCTGGGAAAATACTACTTAACTGGACACATCACCTGGCTGGTTCCATCTCCCACAGCTTAGATCATGACTCACCTTGCTCCCTTCTTCACACAATATGCTGTGAATGAGTGCATTGACTTGTTCCTCCCTCCGGTTGTCTGGCACTTTGGATCTCTGGTGTGTGATGTGGTAGCAGGGGGAGGAGTTTGGCTGCTGGGCTGCCCATTAATGATAAAATCATTCTATTTAAGGCAGGTGGTCAGCAGAAGAAGCAGAAACAGAACAGCTGAGGAAACTGTTTCATCTGAAAGCAAGAAGGCCTAGAGAGCTTTCTAGATAGCTTCTGCATTATGCAGTTTATAGCTTAGTAACCTCTAGTGAAAGTTTATCTCCATGTAGTTTGGAAATGTCTTCAGCTCTACCCCTGTGAACTGAAATTTGAAGGGTGAGATTCTCCATAGGCTGAGAAAATGTTTCTTTGAATCCCTCAGTGGATGCTGTAGACCATGAAATATTCCTGGTGGCTCTTCTGTGGATATGGATTTACCACCCACATTCAGAAAGAAGACTACCTGACACAAAACTTTTAGAAGAAGAAATACCCCTAAAGCATGGGAGAGAAGGGTAGTAGTAGAAAGCAATGTCCTACACTGAACTTCATGATTTTCACCTGAGAAGAGCAAATCCTGTGATTTGTGAGCTAAATTAAAACCTCCCTGGCTTTGTTCTACTTTATGGCAACCACTAACCTGGATGTTGTAGCACATAGTTACAATTACTTGAGATATTTTCCACCTTTCAGTGCCTCCCACTCATGTCTGTCTGTTTTTGTTTCCTGTGTCAGAGCTTCCCGACCCCTTCATTATGGTGATACCACTCTTTTGGGGCTGCTTTACAGACAATTTCACAGAAAAGATCTGAGTATTTGAGTTAAGAAAAAAAAATAAATTTTATATTGAAAAATAGATGAAGAATATTTTTAAACTTGGCCTATTCTAGCCATGGAGAGTTCTCCTTCTCATATCACCTTCATGCCCCCTGATGCTTTTTACTGGCACAAGGATGGGCAGAGCAGAACATCTGCAGCTCTTAAACTCATACATGGTTTAGGACTGCTCCAGCTGTTTCTGGAGTAGGGAGAGTTCTTCATGGCAGTTATACTGAGGTGTTGACATCTGCCTCAGAGACACATCTGGTTGTTCCTTCTCAGCCACGTGAGATCAAAAGCTCTCAACAATAGAATTGCTAAGTTTACGAATGAATGCAATTACTAAATAGTTGGTTTCCTCACTATCTGCACAGGATTACTTAATCAGAAAATCAGCTCCATCTACTTATCTGCTTATTCAAGTGTCTGTGACTTTCCCAGTCTATCCTGAAGCCCTACACACTTCAGGAAACTGTACGGGAATTCCTAGCAGTAGTTACTTCATGAGTTGAAACAGTATTTCTAAACACTTATATTGTTTGCTTTTTTCCTCCCAGCAACTATGATGATATGCTAAAATGCCATGTTTTTCATGTGTGTATATTTGAATTAAGAACTCTATCTAAAATATTTTATGCCAATCAATCTAGTCAATACAATATATTTTGTGGATTTAAAAAAAAAAAATAATCCTGGACTCCCCACAATTCTGTCTAAACTATTGAACCTGCATTCACACATAACTCCATAAGTATCTTCTGAAAGCTAATTTTCTAGCCTATTTTATCTTCCAGAACCAAACCTATGAGTACATAATATTTTCCATTTCTAACACAGTATTTGATTTTCAGTAACAGTGTTTTTTTCCAAGTAGATGTTTCCATCTAACTCTTAATGGTAAAGCATAATAAAGAAGCCTGAAATAAAAATAAAATGTGAATTCCTACAACTGCATTTACAAATCTTATGCTCTTGCAAATTTTTGTGCAAGTATTTTATAGTCTTCAGTGAATTATCTAAAAGCTATGCTTATCGTAATGAATGCTTAAAAATCTTTGATCTTTCTCCAGACCTTTCCATGTAATTCTTTGTTAAGGAATGAATGATGTTACTGACATCATCTTATCTGGTGAATCATCTCACTTCATCTGCTGTTCTTTAATATTCCTTGCACTTGCTCACTGTAGATTTTGATTGTGTTATAGAGAGTAATGAAACCCCATATTTGCTTTAAACATGCTACTATATATTCCTGAGATGCCCTTTATTTGTATTTTTATATAGCTTCATCATACACAACAAAGATACTTTCTTCAATAATGCTACAAGAAGTAGAATAGTACACCATATCTTACAAAGAGTGAAATACGAAGAAGGGAAAAACAAAATCGGTAAGTGCTGAGCACTATGCTTTAAACATGGGTGCCAAGTCCCACCAAAAAAAAAAAAAAAAAAAGGAAGTCCACCTTTTCTGTAAAACTCTGCAGCCTATTTCATTTCCCTGCTGTTTAAACTCCATCCTTCCTCAAGAGGCAGAGAAACATCCCAGAACTTCAGTCGTTTTTTCCTCAGCTCCTGGGATGGAGGGCAGTACTACCTCTGGACAATGACAGTGAACAGAGGGGAGAAAAGAAAGGGAAGAATGCATCCATTGCATGCAACCATTGCCTTTCGCACACATGCTTTCAGCCCCTGCCTACCTCAAGATCTGAGGCTCTCACATATCTACGTATGTTGTACCTACCATGAGCACAGCTTTGTACTGATCACCGAGCAGAGCAAAGCCTGGATCCACTCTATGGGTTTTGCTTTTCAGCCAGAGACTTTGGAAGAAAGCATATTCTTCCAAACTGATATTAATGCAGTCACTGAAAGTGCTATTTATCTTAAATTAATACTTCTCATTGCTGTGTTCTCATTGCTGTGTTTTTGCTGCTATCATTCCCCTGTGTTTTAGGAACAGACAGAACAGAAAAAAAAATTGAACTTGAAACCTCCAGGACAATAAGTGATGGTTTATGATTATTATTTGAACAAGTCTTTGCTTGCATTATATCCTAGTTCATCAAAATCTGTAAAAGACTAATTTTTTTCCATGTATCCTTTACTATCAATGGGCTTTAAACTTCATTTAGAAACCTTATTATGAAAATTTGTTTTGCTTTTTACTTAATAGTATTGCTGGTCCTATTGGTAAATAACTGGATACTTTTGGTTCTTAGGTCTGAATCGATTGCTCAGTAATGGCTCCTATGAAGCTGCATTTCCTCTTCATGAGGTATTTTTCTCTTTTTCTTTTTTTTTTTCTTTTTGAATAGCCATTTGCCACAACATGAATTCTGAATTGTATAATGATTTGTTCTCAATCTTATTAATGTTATTACTCTCTTTTGCATTCTGTGTCTGCCTCTGACATCCTTCCCATTTGGTAACACTTTTTTCTTGGGAAAAAAAAAAATCTTGTAAAAAGATATGAGTAAGGAGAGTTGTTCTGGATCTGTCCTATAGAAAGTGTTTGGGTTTGATAAACCAGTGCTTTATCAGAGGTGGAAAATACCATGCTGTGGTTTTCTCTTTGAGATTCTCCAGTTTATAGTGTTTAACTTGAACACCATGTATCATAAATTTCATAGGAAGAATAGTCTCAAATCTTACTGAAGTCAAAGAAAATTGTACTTTTAATGTCATATTTAGCTTTTGGAGCACAAATAGGAAGTTTGCATAAACTATGATGTTATCCATACCACTAGTGAGAGAGATTATTTAGATATTCTTTTTTTTTTTTTTTTTTTTTTCCCTAATGTTGCTCATTAATGTCCAGATTTGTATTTTAGGGAAGTTACAGAAGTAAGAATTCGATAAGAACCCATGGGGCAGAAAACCACAGACACCTGCTCTATGAATGCTGGGCTTCCTGGGGAGTGTGGTATAAATACCAACCACTGGATCTTGTGAGGTAAGACTTACCTGCTTTTAGTATGTCACATTATAGGTGCTGTGAACTCTCTTCCAACAAAACCATGAAAAGCTCAGTTAATTCATATGTTTTTTAAAAACTGGTCCTAAGATCATGGAAATCCACTTCATTTATGGTGCCACTACATTCAAAAAAAGTGTCTATAGAGGGGCTTTTAGCAGGAGCTGAAAGTGAAGGAAGTTTTCTTTTAGAGCTCCCAACACCATAACTTCTAATGGAGGGTTTGCAGAATATTCAGGAGGGGGGGAAAAAAAAAAAAAGGGAAATAGATCTGTGGAGGCTGGGTAGACTTCGTTGCATTTCTGTCCACTGGTGGGGTTCTTTTTCCTCCTCAGAAGAAGGCAGCTTTGGTGAAAAACAGTCTCTCATTGACTAGATCTTCTTTCTAGTTTTTTCCCAAAATGTAACCACAGAATGAGTTCTGGATGAAGTTAAATAATGCTTACAAATGGCACAGAGCAGAGCTTACAGTCACTGAGTGTGCTACTGTACTCAGCAGCACTAGCGGTAGATAGGTGAAAGACTTTTCTGCTCCACCTCCCTTAAACTCAGCCCAGCTAGATCACCACATTCTGAAATCTTGGAAATAGCCTGCCAATAAGAAACACTGAGAAAGCTGAAACTTGACTCCAAATTTTTACAGTCCTTTTTAATGTTTTCAAATAGGCTTGCATATTTGAATAGAGGATTATTTTTTATTTAATGCATATATAAAAAGCCAGAGCTTTTACTGATCATGTTGGCAGAACTATTGTTTGGTATTAACAGACTTTTTCTACTTGAAGAGGATATCAAACTACAAGGGCCTATTAATAAAGGCTTAAGAGGTACTGAGATCAGCAACGCTAATGATACATTGGCCACAGGGAAGGGTCATACAGAGCATGCAATTGGTCCAGCATGTTAATTTCCCCTTTTGTAAGTCCAGTAACTGATAGAAACCTTTGTTTTTATTGATTCTCAAAATTGTTTCCAGATGAAAGGTTTGTATAGGGTGGCCCTGGAGACAGAATTATTGATTAAGGCCATATAAAGCCTATCAATTTTATAAAACAAGAGATGTTCGATTTTCATGGAGAAACAGTTCACAGAGAAATGCAGTTAAAAAAAAAATTCACTAAGTCATATAATTCTTAAACTGCTTTAGAAAACAAAGTAATTAATTTTTACCTCATAATTTAATCCTGAAAGAATCTTGTTTCTTTTCTAATACACTGACCTAGACAGAAATAAGTTTTTTTTTGTCAAATTACACTGTGAAAATTGTTGATGTATGGGGTCAGCAACATTTGTACTGCAGTCGTTAATTTTTCATTTCCAAGTGTGCAATAAGATACTAATGTCACGGTATAAACAACTAATCTCCAGAATCTTTTTTAAGCATTTTTCCGTGGTGGTCAAGGCTACTGTTCTTTATCAACATTTATTGTTTGTGAAAGTGCTATTGAGCCAATATGTGGGGTCTGGTTTAATTTGGCTTATGATCAGGCATCTGGAAGACTTTTTTAAGTGTGAGACTAAAAAGTACAGAATGAGCAAGGTTAGACACACGATTGTTCTGGACCAGGGCAGCAGCCTTCTTGAGTAGCCTGGGTTTGATATTTAAGATTTTGTAAGATACTTCAGCTTTTCATCAGCCAGTGACATCCGCAGCTGTTATACAAAAGAAAAAAAAGCATCAAAAGAGCAGATCCCCTAGCTGAGTCCATAGGTATGCCCTGGTGGTTTAGAGTAGGTGTTCACACGAAGACGACCAGGGCAGAGGGAGCTGCGAGGGTCTCTGAGCATTCACACCAGCGTGAGTCTCAGTAACCACAGAGTGCAGCAGAGTTCAAAGTCGTCGTTCCAGCCCATCCTGTTGTTTGCTGCCTGGAGCACCCATGGCCACAATGAATTCACTGAAGGAGGGGTGCGGAATGCCTTTTTCTTCCCACTTCACAGGTGCTAGATCCTGCACATTTCCTTAGCTCCTGCCAAGTTTTTCCTGTCTACACGTCTAGTGAGCTGGAGATTTTTCCTTCAAGAGCTGACAATACCAGCAAGACTTGTTGTTCATTTTGCTTGAAAGTATCTCAGCATGAATAGTTTAAACAGAAGTTTTTTAGTTCAGTTCTGCAGCAGGAGCAACTTTATTTTTTTCCCATACCAACAGGTACATAGGGATGTGCTTCAAGGGAGCAGTGATGCCATCTGTAGAGAATGAGTGGATGGATTTTAATTTTTCCACAGACATCTGGCTAGAACTTGCTGCTGCTAGCTGACATTCCCCTTTATCATGTGCTTCAGAAAGGCTAAGGAATAAATTAGATGTAGATAAGTAATTAATAGTGTTTCCACCTTAAAGTCAAATTGCCACAATGGTAAGCAAAACGGTTCATACCATCATACTTTGGTGTTGGTTTGTTTTTTTTTTTTCTTCGCTGTTAAAAGGCCTTACATCTCCATTGCTGTCAATCTGCTGCCTCCCAGATTTCATTTAATCTCATCAGCTGGCTGTTATGGAGACACTAGTCACTAGAAATAAATGAGAAAAAGTCATCTGAGGGGAATTGCATGATTCTGCTTTCACTCTGTTTTGAATCACGTGGCAGTATGAAGGCACAGATTTGGCAAATGGCAAAGTAACTCTTATTAATCAGCAGATGTGATACCATAATTTTAAATACACTTCTGTTGGAATTTACTAACCATATTTACTTTACAAGAATAATTTAAGAAACTTTGAATCTATAGCAATTGGAAAGAGGCAGGACTTAGTATATTTATTTGCTTTGGGACCATGTAAATCAGTGGAAACAGATGCAGCAATTTCTGGGGGTTTTGGACCACTTCCTTCACACTTCTATGCATAGCTGCTTCACTTTAGGTTTTGCACAAATTACTCCAGCTGCTACTTGTGCATGTAATTTACAAGACAAAAAAGGAAGCAGAAAACTATATCTGTAAAGTGGTTGTAAAGCTACCTAAACAAACCTCAAAGCAAAAGTAGTGCTTTAGAAACTTGCATTTTACTCTGTTTTTACAGAGTAAAATTAAATTAAATTACTTAATTGCAATCTGACAACTCTATTTCAATCACCTGTCAAGCCGCCTTCTCTACCTCATTTCTCCTGACATAACATGAGAGCTTCATGTGTGTGCAAAACACCTCTTGGAAAGCTCTAGCTTTCTCACAACTTGTTTCTGTGGTGTAAAAATTTTGTATAGGACGTCTTTCTGACTGACAAAAGATTTAAAGAAAATAGATCTGTTCTTGGCTTGTGTGCAAACCTGTCTATATTCTAGCTCTGTGACTTACTTCTAGGCATCCCAAAAGTAAAAGATTATATAATGAAGGTCGTTAAACACAGAGGAATCCAGTGTGACATTTTGTGGGTCTGAAATTAGAATTTGTAGTTTAATATTTCTAAAAAACGTGCTGCCTTACTTACACTGCAATTGAAATCTTGGCTCTGTTGTTAGTGATAGTTCTACCACCGGAATGGTGTGCTGGGAGAGATAGTTCGCTTTTATGACAGACGATACTGGAGGGCTAGTATACAACCCAGCATAAAACTGAGAAGCTGAAGTTATATTTTTATTGTTATTCTCATGGTACAGCGTATATGAAGATAAGCAAGATGGATTGTCCTGCTAGGTGCTTAGGGGTTTTTACCTCTCTGCTTTTTAGGTTAGTTGTGAAGGAAATTTTCTGTAATAGACACTCAAGACACAAGACATTTTTTCCTACTTATTTAAAAACTGAAATATCAAATGGTAGTAGGTTAACAAAGTCAACAAAAATGCAGATGTTATCAATGTTGGCAAATTTCAGAGGCCTTCAATGAGCAGAGTGATAACAGGTGAAATTTAAGTATAAGTAATGCACAGTGATGCACCCTAGAACAAAAAAATCATTGGAATTCTTCATGTAGATTACTGAGTTCTGGGTAAGGTACCAGCATGCAGGTAAGAAAACTGCCATCACTGTGGAGATCTATATGAAATTCCTATTCTATATATAATGACAGAGTAGAAACAAAGAGCTTGTTCTTTGTATTTGGTGCAACTTGAAGAAAAAGAGTGGCGAAAGTATCTCTAAGCCATCTCCATCTCCTGAGGATCATGACGGCCTAGGCTAACCAAATTATGGATTGGAACGGATGTGGAACTGCTCTAAATATTTTAGGGACATGGTTTAGCAGTGGACTTAATGGAGTTAGGTAAATGGTTGGACTATGATGATCTTAAAGGTCTTTTCCAACCTAGGCAATTCTATGATTCTACTAATATGACACCTAGGGATGTCTTCAAAGACCCTGTTAGTAATGTAGTTTCTCTCTATATTTCAACTTGGTGGTGTCTGAGCAGACTTACAGAAAAAAATATGCTAACTACATGTCCAGAAGAAATGAAATTTTAACTAGATCCTGATGTATTCTTACAGTAGTACAATATGTGGCATACCAGCTTTGGAGTAAGGACAATAGTGGAAGATCAAAGCGGTTTGTCCATATTTAAACCAATAAGTATCAAAATTAAGTTAATATCCTGGTAACTCCTGTTAACTTTTAAAACCAGGCTCACCAATGGCCTCAGAGCCTTTTTCCTTACATTGCAGAGGTTTAGGTTGCCACCCATCATGTCCATTCTTCTTCATACACACACTGAACTTCGCTTGGGTCTCCATCTAGGATTAAACTGATTTCTAGATCAAAACAAGTGTACTATGATTTGCACCATCAGAAGGAAAGGCTCAACAGGATAAGAGTTGAAGTTTGTCATGAATGCTTGTTGGCTAGAGGGGTGGAATGAGGAAGCATTTATCCTTGAATATAGGGAATTAAATAAAAAAATAGATCTTGATGAATGTGAGCTTCACTTCACTACTTTGACCTATTCACATGGAGAAAAATAGGTCATAAATATTCAGTGGAAGTAAGCTCAAAATATGAGCTTCCCTGTTCAGTGGAGCAGGGACAGCTTGCCATCCTAAGTGTCAGGAAAACAGTTAGGCCAAAGGGTTCACTAACGCTCTTAAGTAAGAGCTCGAAAAGCAGTTTCCATTGTGTCTTCTTACAACCAGACCTGCTGTCCTTGTCAGAACTGACCATTTTATCATTAGCTTACCACCTCTTTAGTCTGTAAATTTGAGTTTCTCTTGAATGACAGAAGAATAAAGCTAACATGACAATGCCTGGCTTCTCGTACAGAGCTGGTAAACTCAAGTTATAATAATCAGTGTAGGTCAGTATCATTTAGCAGAGCATGAGCTCAGCCCAGACACACACTGCTCACACTGGAAATGTTTTATATCCATTTGAAAACTGATGATTTTGTCCATTCCAGATCAAGTGTTTCTTGCTCTTCTCCACTGCCTCAAGCCCTGGAGCCTATCATGGTTCTTTTCTTCCTCCCAGCGAAAGTTCAACCGAAGGTGTTTTCTGGTAGCATAAAGGAGGCAGCAGTGCTGACGCGTTGCATTCTTTGTCTCTGGACAGGTCAGAAGTAGCATCATTAGAATAAAAGGGAATTTTCACCAGCAGCTGTTCTCAAATTCAGTTGATACGCAAGCTTAATTTGTCTGCAAAGTCTCTGAAATGCAAGAATATCATCTTTCCTGATTCTTTAAAACTAATCCTGCAAACGATCTCCTAAAATCTTCATTGTAATTACGACAATTGCATATTGATTTGTAAAACAACCTTATCATCAGCATACTGTGCACAATGCCATCAAATACAGGACAATGCATGAGCCTGCTCCTATGCTGATGAATTCAGCAGGTTTTATGTGTGCTTGATGTACTCTCTAACACATAAATGAAGATTTGGTTGTGCCTGGGAGGAGGAAAAAAGCTAATGGATATGTAGAAAATATGAGCTTCCTGGCCACTTTGCTGTTAGTTTTTAAGCAATACAGTTGCCAAATTAGGTTAAAATCAGACTACTTTCTTCATATCAGTGCAAGATGTTAGAAGTTATTCGTTGGACCACACTTAACTTTCCTTCTGTGAATCATGAGATTAATTTTCCAGGAACTGGCCTAAGAAAACAAATAATTAAATGAAAATAAACCGTGTTCGAGAATAACCTCTGGTTAATTAATTTCTTAGAAATTATTTGGGCTTAAATCATTTTTCCTTTTATACCAGTTTTAGGGATAAAACTGATTTCAATGCAGTTATTTGGGAAGTACAGTTACACAGCCAAAAGGCATGAAAAGCCATCAATTTCCCAAATTCAAATAACTAGCTTTTTAAAATTAATGCAGTGTTTCGTTTCTAAGGTCTCCACTCATCTCACTTTAAACTGTGTTAGGTGAGTTTTTAATTTCGTTTTCTGCTTTCATTTATGAGGCAGGTTCCTCAGTGTCAATTGAGATGCCTTGTTGTAGTCTTTTTCTTCAGGAAATTTTGACTCCGATCTCTAATCTACTCTTTGCATATGATAAAAATATTTCTTTTCTATTAACAAGCAAGATTAAACAGATCTATTCTAATTAGCAGGTAACTTTGGTGTGTTGTGTTTTAAAACAGGCGGTACTTTGGTGAGAAAATTGGGCTCTACTTTGCCTGGTTAGGCTGGTACACGGGAATGCTCTTCCCAGCTGCCTTCATTGGATTGTTTGTCTTTTTGTATGGAGTCACCACTTTGAACCACTGCCAAGTCAGGTAACGTGAGCACTTTTATAAGGGAATTTACAGCTGTGTGTTGTTATAAATAATTTAAGAGATCTTCATATGAATGGTTAATTATTTCATTTTCAACCGTTGAATTTTCAATTCTGTCAAAGACTGACTGATTCTCATAAGGTACCCAGTAACAAGCTTCCCTTGTTATGTGCCCCTGAATTGGGACCGGAGGCAATGTTACTTGTCCACCTCTAGTAGGTGATGGTGCTGGCAACTCAGCATGAAGTAGTGAAAAAGTAGGGGTCCTTCATTACTGTTGTAACAGACTAGCAAAAGAGTGGGGAATTTTCACTCTCTTCAAGGCCTTTCCCAAAGATCCACCACAGGAAGTTATTCTTCAGATGAAGAATGCAGTGAACCTTCTGCTGAGCGCTGTATCTCTACATTCTTGCACTCTTAAGTCACAAGAATAAGTCAAACATAACGTTATCTGCAATCATCTTCACCCTTATCCTACCAAAGATCACTTCTGACTCAAGGAGAAGCTGGAAATGGTGAAGAGATACTGCTAGTCTGGCCCTGAAGAACTGTCCTCTGTCGTTATGAGTGTAAACTCGAAAGCCTTAGACAGTCAACAATTCTTAATTATACCCATAATGTTATGAAGACCTTGACTTCTGTTATAGAGCCAATATTGTTCAATTAATAACTGGTAGTGAAACTTATAAATCCATTCGAAGACTGTTGTGTATCAAACTATTTTTTTTTCTGTTTTTCCAGTAAAGAAGTCTGCCAAGCTACTGATATCATAATGTGTCCTATATGTGATAAATACTGTCCTTTCATGAGGTTGTCAGACAGCTGCGTTTATGCCAAGGTACATCTTAAAACCATGCTAATAGAAATCTTTCATTGTAGAAGCATTAATTTTGCCTTTTGCATTTCTCTGCAGTGAGCCTGCGTAGATAGTCTTGAAAGGACAGACCAAGTTCAGGCAATATTAACATTCATTGTCTTCTATCAAGACTTAGTTTGAGGTGTAAAACACTTGTATGCTCTTTGCAGTTATTCAGTAATCCCAGAGGTTGTGTCCTAGATGCACGTGCTGTGGTGTCCTTGGCATCAACCTTTACCTTATGATTTATCCTTTGTACGTGGCTCCACAAAATGAATGTTTTGGGTTTGAAATGATGCTCACAGCTGGTTTTGGCAGGTGTCAGTCCCAGACCAGGCTGGCAAATAGTCCTGTCAATTGCCTTCCACACATCCAAGGAAGGGTCCTCAGGATTGTAAGGCCAGCTCATGATCACATTAATTTTATTAGGTGAAAACAGAAAATAAAGCCTTATTATCTCACATTGATTACGTTGTTAATATATCCCTCAGGTAACCCACCTTTTTGACAATGGAGCTACTGTCTTTTTTGCTGTTTTCATGGCAGTGTGGGGTAAGTTTTTGGTTTGATATTAAGCAATTGCACAACCTTTTTTCTTAAAGATTGTAATGCAAACTAAGCCTTTAATTTCTAGCACACTTTTTTCAGATACTGAGAAAAAAAAACACAGACTTGATTCTTTTCTGTTTCTGCAAAAGGAAGACTGAAGTGGTTGAAATCAGGCTTGTATGTGATAGTAATTTTAATTAAAATAAAAACATAAATGTATTATGTAGTGTGTATGTAGGTAGTTAATATTCTAGATTTTTTTTAATTGTTTTTCAATCTGTTGGCACTGAGGTCTTTTCTCTGTTTCTGTTCAGGGCTTTTCTTATCTTACAGCAGTTGAGTTTAGTGTCTAAAATTTATTAATGTATTGTTCTTCCCACCTTGCAGAAAGGCAGGAAAGCTTAAATACATGTAAGCTGATTGTAATTAAAGCAAAACTGATTAAATAAATGGAAGATTTAGCTTAATGACCAGTTGATCCGAGAGTGGTCTAACTGTTGCCATGGAGGCTGAATTTTGCCCATAGGACAATTCTATTTCTGGCTCAACTGTTTTTCCTACTGTGATCTTGTAGGCAGAAAGAAGGCAAGAGGAAACAATAATTTCTGGAAGCACAGAAAGTCTTTCAGACGTGCCCTGAGCATGCTCAGTGTCTCAGCTGCTGCCATGCCATTCTGAGAGAAGGTTAACACCTTTAGAAAATGGTGCTCAATGAGGTGACTCAAAAATGGCATCCATCTCACAGCTCTGGGTGCTTGGGCTACCCTGATTTAGCTATCATCCTCCTCTTCTTACTGACACATCTCCAAATGTTTTGGAAAGATGTCCAAGTAATTCTCATAATCTCCATTTTAAACTACAAATCTCTTTACTGAGCCACAGGAGATATCCAGGAGACAACATCAGAGCCATCAGGACAACACAGATTAGCCTACCAGTCTGTTTCACCTCCTTCCTCCAAAATTATGTTCTTGTCTTAGTTAATTGATTAAATAAGTTCATATACCAGTCAAACCTATTCATGCCATTTCATGTAATATTGGTCATATTAAAATATCAAAAGTTATGTTAAGAAAAAAATCCATATGGTGTAGATTTTATGCCTCTCTTTGGTATTTCAGCTTTGTTTTAGAGCTTCACCAGAGCTGAAAATCACCAAAAATTTCTAAGCCTAATGACCTTTTTTAGACGGCCACTCAGTTTTTTCAAATTCTTTCTCTGTGTGATCACTGAAGTTAAGAATTTCCAAGACAGTTTAGAGGCAGGGACTTAGATTTCAGCGAGGAAAACTGATGAGATAACACTGTTGAACACTTATGTCACTATTCCTATCTACTGGTGAGCATGTCTTCAGAGCGCAGCTTTTTGCATCAGTGCTTTTGATCCTCCTTAACAGTCACGCTGCTTTCAGGAATCAGCTTTACTCACAGCATTGCACATTGTCCTAGCACTGCCCAGATCCAGGGCTACAGGAAAGCAGCTCTAGGTAAGGGAGGTCACTCAGTCAGGTAACCATGCCTGGTCTTGCTTCATAGTCACTGCCTGGGAGAAGGCTGAGCAGGCTGAATATGCCTGTCTACAAAACGTTGTAGGTCCTCTTTCTTTCCCATCCCTAGCTGACAGGAGCTGCACCTCACTTTGGTTAGCCTCTCCTTCCTCCCTCTCCTTCAGCATCACTGTCAGACTCCCAGATCCAATTCTTTTTGTGGATATCTCCCCATGAGTCTGACAGAACTGGGAACTATATTGCCCATTCATGCATCTCCAGCACCTGAGACCCCAGAGAGTTAAGAAAAAATATAAAAAATTGCTGCCTTCTGGATGATTTGGCTAGTGGAAAAGAGCCTCTAGGAGAGTGCTGAGGTGAGAGCTTTCCCCACCCCTTTTCTTGACTTACACTGTGCTTGTGAGTTTGCTGCCAAGAGAGATGTAGGGGCGACAATTGGAAGGAGGTAGTGAATGTAGGGTAATGGTTTGGGAAAAGGGGTGATCCTATGGCTCCACCCAAACTATAGTTTTCTTATGTAAGACTTTGCTGAGATAACAGTGAGATTGTGGAGCTATTTTCCATACAGTTAGGGCATTAACATTAGAACATGGAAAGCCACACTTTCCAGGTTTTACTGGTACTGGATTTATGAGTTGGCTCACCACTGTCTTAAATGGATTTTCAGTCTGCAGTAGGCGTATTGGCAGCTGCAGGTGTTACCATCATCTCAGTAAATCATAGAGGAAGAGAAGAAACAGTCATAGCTGTTTGAAACGGGTTTTCTGTCATCATGATACAACTGGCAAGCGCATGACAAATTTACTGTGAAAAGTTTAGCCTTCTTGATGGTCCACTTTGACAGACACTAGAATGTGAAATAATGATAGTAGTGCTTTCAAAAACAGAATGAAAGCAAAAAAGGGCAACTAAAATTGTGTTACCTCTTTAGCCTGAGCTTAGCTACTGCTTATTATCTGAAGTACTTTCTTCACCGTCTTTAGATCCCTCTGTTTATTGAACTCTCATCCTGAGAGAGAAGCCTCAGCCACTTGCTTGGGGTTTTCAAAACCAGGCGTGGACAGGTTGGGCATTCCATGAAGAGGTGATCTGTATGGTGGTTTTCTCCTTTTACCCTAATGGCATCTTTAATTGATAGATAAAGTGGGTTGTTCACTTTTTAAGTAGAAATAAAATGCTTCTCCAAATGATGAGCAAACTGCTGTGGCCAGGCTGGGGAGAGGAATTACCACAACAAACATCAGTATGGGCTGCTTGATTTGTGGAGCAGCAATGAGCCTGGCTGTAAAACGCTGAAGCACAAGGACCCATCTTTTATAATGCTTCATTGGGGGTTAAGTGGGTCCAAAATAAGGCTGGAATTGTCAAACACACCAGGATATATTGGAATTGAAACACATTTTTCTCTACAAAAATGTTAACCCATCACCTCACTTATTGTATTTCCTGCCTGGCTTAAGCAAAGTTCCATATAAGAAATAAAAGTAATTGATATAATACAAAAAAAAAAAAAATCTGATACTTGCTGAGGTATACCCAAAAGACAAGGCTTAAGGCAACTTTCATTTTAAACTAATGTAGCAAAGGACAAAAGCTAAGCAATAGCATTTTTTTGTGTTTCTGAGCTAGAGTGAGACACCTACACTTCACACTTTATGTATGCCTTGAGATGTGTCAAGCTTGATAAAAAGATAGGGCCCATTCCAAGGAAAAACTCCTCTCTTTTTACTGTCTGAATTGGATTCTTACCAAAGGTTGAGAGAAAGATGTTCATTCTAAATAAATGTTGACATTTCAAGTGCAGAAACAAAGTAGCTTTCAGAAAAAAAAAAAAAAAAAAAAAAACTAGGTAAATTTTGTATCAAATTGACTCCTAACATGTTGCTGTAAAGCCAGATGGAATTCTAGCTTTTGCTTTTCCAGTTCAAGTACTGGGGAATGTTACTGCAAAGATGTCACTGTCTAGACATTTCCTGAAGCTCAGTAGTAAAGTTTGTGACTGTCCAACAATAGAGTCCAACTATTCATCATTCCTAGTGCTTTGTTAGAGACGAGGTGGGCAGATGGCAATTTCTCTCTCTCTGCATATCTTTCAGGCACTAGGGACACAGTAAAAGTCCTTTTTAAAATTTCTGCTTGTCTACCTAGAATAATGTTTCCTTTGATAAAAGGAAGTAACTTCAGAACACTTGCCGAAAGGCAAAGTCGGGAGAACAAAAAAAGGCCTGGCTTGAAGAATTTAGCACTTTTTCCAAGCGATAATAAATACCAACATGAAACATTTTTTTTCTATCCATATCAGTTAGTCTAATAAAAAACATTATTTTCCTACAATCCTTGCCTCTAGCATGAAATATTCACACTGATCTGCTCTCTGAGGATACAGAATTTAAAGTTCTTCAGAAGCATTCCTGGCTGCTGAAAATATATATTCTAGAAGTCAGGATGGATACATTTAGTGCTGTTCTGAAATACAGAACACCATGAGGGGGAGAATTTCTGAGAGATGGTCAGAATTAAGCTATTTGCTGCAAGAGGCTATTTGCATTACCAGATATGACCACAACTTGTTTCAAGAGTATCTGAGAAAATTATGTTAAAACAGCTGCTTGAACAAGGGGATGTTGAGGACTGAGCTGCATGTTTGAGCTCTGAAGCAGGGCAACCATAGTATAGAAAAAAAATAGCAAAAAAACCTGGGAGTTAAGGCCAATGAGAAATTAAAAATTCCAAGAAGGATTGTTGGAGAATTTTCGGCATCTGGTTTAAACATACCAATTGGAAAGCAGGAGAACAAGTACAACTGTGTCCTATTCAGCTGTCAAAGTCAGAAAAGGATGCTGAAATCTGATATGGGGTATTAGTAATTACTTGACTAGAAAAGAAGCAGAGAAATTTCAAAACGCAGTACTTTTTAGAAGACCTCAGTAGTACATTGAATCAATCAAAGATGGCTATTTATAGCAGATTTTAAAATACCTAGCAAGGGAAAAGTGCACACTAACCTGAATAGAGGGAGAAAAATGTAGCACAGTAAAAGCTAAAACAGAATTGTGCAGATCATCCTATTTGCTACTTTAATGATTTGAAAATAGCTTTCTAAAGAGGCTTCAGGAACTGTATATACTTACTCTGACAGGTGCTAAATATACTAAATATAATATGTATAGATTTCTCGTTCCAAGTGTGTAAAGAACAAGACAGGAAAGAAGTACAATTCAGCACAGACATATCTGAGAGGTTCATGCCTGTGGTCTCATATGCCCAGGATTTTTTTTTCTCTCAGGTCTCCAAAAAGTTCAGGGCTACTTGATTAGCCTGTGCAAAACAATTCAATATGAATTGATAGGAGAGAACCAGCTCTACGAGAAGACAAGTCAAGAAATGAACAGTGTGCTGGTTAATCAGTAGCAGAGCCTCATTAACAGTTACTAGTTTTGCTTATCCAAAGTAACCATACTGCAATTACTTCAAAAAGTCATAGAAATATTAAGATCAGGAGACTGAATTGACTTTTTTATTAGATTACATCAAAGCAGCTGGTTACCTAGTGTAACATAACTCCATCTTTCAGAAAAAAAAGATGAAGTGATGTATGAAAATGCCTTCAAACCAAATAGCTACCTCCTTAAACATGCTTTTGATATCTTACCTTATCTTCTCACAGTGTTCATTTTCTAAGCATATCTTAGCTGCATTGGCTAATACATTAAAATACAGTCATTCTTACTGGCTAAAAATTCACTTTCACTAAGCTAGTGACAGTGCTTAGTGTCATGTCATATCATTGTCAATATGCTGCAGTAGAGCAGGTAGTCTATTAAGGAGATGCTTTGAGGACTGGAGGTGGAACATATTGCCAGGCTATTGTGACACTGTTACAGCTGATGCTGTGTTAGCTCATGAATAAAGAGGGTTATGCTCTCTGTGGTTATCAGCCTGAATGCTTTTCAGTGGGCAATAAAGGAAAGAGCCCAACCTCACTGTGGAAGAGGAAGCCTTTCCATTGATTTGTATTAGCTTTAGGCAGCTCCTACATCCTTTTAACAAAACAAATTTTAATAACCTGTAGCCATTAACAGGTTCAGTATTAATCTTCAGAATATGAACACATCATTTTATGACTGAGTGCTTCATTGGTTGTTCTTTCCATCACAAAATGGATGGACACACCTGGGTCACAGGCGTGTACAGGTATATTATACTATCTTGAACTCTGTCAATAAAGGCTGTACAGCACAGAATGTTTAATTGTCGGATGTTAATGTCACACCATGCATACACACTCATGTAGTGTAAAAGAAATGGTCTGGATTAGAATGGTGTAAGACAAAAAGTTCCCATTTCCTAAAAGATTTGCACATGCACCAGAATGTGCTTCCTCTGGGTTCTGGTTTCTGTGTATTGTAAATGGTCTTCAAAGAAGGAAAGGTACTTCTTTATGTACAATAACCCCAAGAAACCTTTAGTTTCATCAGAATTTTGCTATATTTAGTTATGATGAGTCACAGGAACATTTCTGTTCTTTGAGAATTCTCACTTGGTTGATTAGAAATTAGACATCCTCATTTAGCACTAAATGAAATCTCTAAAGCCTCAATCATACTTGAAGCAAGCAAAGTAATCCTTAGAAAGCAATGCTTTTTGAATGCAGTTTTGATCATCAGCATGATTTGCTGTTCAAAGGAATCCATTTATGAAAAGAAATGAAAATAATGTAACAGCTTCATTCAACAGTTCTGGGATAGTCATTAGCATTTTCTTGACTTAAAAACAATATTGTATTTTTTTTCTATTTGCTTCAGCCACTGTTTTTCTGGAGTTTTGGAAAAGAAGGCGAGCAGTAATTGCTTATGACTGGGACTTGATAGACTGGGAAGAAGAAGAGGTTTGTATGAAAAACTGTACTCCTTAAGCTGTAATACAAAGTGATTTGGCTCAAAACGTAAGCGTGTTTTTCTTTTAGATTTATTTTCAATTCATTCTTCAGAGCTTTATAAACTAGGAAATACATGTTTTTCTCCTCAGATATTTCCTCTATAATGTGAAGAAACATTCACCAGGCAAAACCATCTTTTGTTTTTACACCCTTGTAAATCTAAATTAATTTCAATATATTAAGTGGCTGTCATTGTGGCAGATTTCAGGAAAAAAAAATGCACTTTGCAGGAATCTAACAAATTTTGGTTTGAATCCAGGGAGATTCTTGACAGTCCAGTGTACCATCAATTTTTTTAAACAAATTTTTATCTATTCTTTTAGATAGCCACTAAGAATACTGATGGAGAAAAAGCCTTGTGAGGCTTGTACCAGTTTGCAAACATTCAAGTGCTTATTACCTAAGCATACAGTGCTGTGGAGGCACTGAAAAAGATGAACCATCTCAAAGGACTTAGTTCATCCTCTGTTGGTGGAAGAAATCCCCTTTGGGAGGCAACTAAACAGCAAAAAATATCTTTTTTTCTGTAGTGGTAACCAGAAAGAAACAGCATGCTCTTGGGACTGAGAGCTTAGGTCTGAGTGGAATTAGAAGGTTTTATTATGCAGGAAAAAAAGCAAGATTCGGTGGGTACAGGAGAAAAAGTGCACACCAAGTGGGATTTAGACAGAGTCTGCTCTTCTTCCTCTCCAGAGACTGTCCTGAAACCCCTGGAGTGACTGTAAGGTGCTGATGTAGCAGTCTAAATGCAGTTGAACTTCTATATTGCTGTCTCCATGGCAAAATTTATTTTTCATTAATCTTGCCAACAGAGAAACAGACTTCTGTGTTAGGGGAATTTTGTCTCTACAAGGCAATATCGTTCAATGTGGACATGAAATGATACCATTCCTCATCTGTTGGTAGGACACTTTTTTAAAAATGCTTAATGACAAAGAAAATAATCCAGAAACATGAAATCAAACCACTTACACAACTAGAAATTGGTTTCATTATAGCAATAGGAACATCATTATTTGTGCAAGTATGCTGTCAATTCTGGGTGATACTTCAGGACTATTGAAGTCCAGGACTTCAAGACTGTAGTTAGAAAATACCCTAATACTAATTTAATTCTCCTGAGATTAGCAACCTGCTTGTGCCAGTCCTGGAGAGTCAGAGAGAGGTCACACTGAGATAGCCTTGCCTGAGGTTCAAATATTAGTCAGGGTTGACCTGTAGCGATCATGTCCCAGAAAAGCCACTACTGCTGTGGACAGTTAAGGCAAAAAAGATGGACGCACCAAACTGCAATTTCCAAGGTAGTATTATAGCTCAGTGTCCTCAGAATATGAAGGAGCCTTTAAACTAACAAAATACACAAGCCAAGTATAGTATGAGTCCCTTTTTATGTTTTTCCCAGGAAGCCTGTCTTGCAGATGCTTATAGTTTGGGATATGTCTGCACCTTTTACCATTTAACCCACCCGGGTTTGGGATTATGCTGATTTATAAAGCCATCCACCTGAATCTTGTATGATCGGTCCATTTACAAACATTGACTTTCCTGGTAAGGTTGCCCTTAGGAGATGCTTCGCTTTTTTTGGTTGTTTTCTTCCCATATAATAATACTGTTTTCTGGCTGCTGTGCTAATACTTGGGGTCTTTTGCTTAAGTATGAGCATAGCAGCTCCAAGCCCCTTCAGGACCACTGCTCATTCTGTTTTGCTGTCCTCTTTCTGCACATGCTCAAACTCTGCTTATAACCTTGCTGCTACTGCTGAAAGAGCATGTCCTCCTACAGAACCTAGAGGAAAGCATTTTCATGGAACATTTGCTCTCTGCTTTCTAAGCTTTTTCTGGAAGAGCATTACCATGCCTGTGAAACTAAGGCTTTGGCTGGAATAAGCACTGAAAATACAGAAGAGAGTAGAGTTACCAGATTTTTCCTCTTCCAGACGGAAAGCCTGAAAGAGTTTCTAGTAGTTGAAACTACTCTCATAGAAAGATGATGTCTTTATTTTATGATGTCTATCAAATAATATTAGTTTTTATACGAGGTGTTTATGTTCCACTGGCAGATTAATGCAGTTTAGCCTGCAGGATGACATATGTATTTCAGTAAATTTCAGAGGATACCTACTCCCTGCTGGTGGTCACCTGGTCTTTTATTCTCATGCAAGGCTTTTTCCAATGAGGTCTGTCGACAAGACCTCAGTCAGGTACCCTGGGGCAGTGGTGAGTGTACCTAATCCAGAGCTATTCATTGTACCTTCTTATAGTTCTAGAGGGAGTTTTGTGTCTCTACAGCAGGAGGTATCAGTTTTGCAGAAGCAGTGTGCCAGATGGTACCTTCCTTTCTCAAATTAAAAGTTAAAGATGCCAATAGGAACGCAGCTGATTGCTTCTCAAAGATTTATATGACCAGTCATCAGAGCATCAGTATGTCATTGGCATTTGAGGCATCAGTTCCTCCTTTGTGTGGTGTTCAGTGGGATCCCAAGAGTGGGAGCTGTTTGCCTCCTAGAGGTGTCTTTGCCAAAGATGCTATAGCTGCCAGTGCCCATACCTACTGCACAACTCAAACATTTGCTTGCTTTAAGGTCATCTCTACAGACCTCTGCCTCCTCTTCTTAAGTATCCGAAGGCCACTTTTTTTCCATTGGCACTGGGGTCTCTGTAGGACTTTGCCCCTGAGACAGTCACAGTTTGGAAGCAGGTATCCCAGGTGAAAAAAGTGTTGATACCATTTCTCTGTTCTGTGGTTCAAAGACCACCTCTTCACTTAGCCATTGCCTTCAGCTGCAAGGAGGACTTTGCAAGGACCACAGGCTTTGCAAGGAGACTTACTTCTGGGCGTACTATCATTGTACCAGTGATCAAGATTCAGATTTTCAATCTTCTACAAATCCCTTTTCTGCATCTGTTCTATACAGGACGATATATCCTTGGACTAGGGAGGATAGGACTCCTGCAAGAATTCACCTGTTAAAGCACTCAGAAACTTCCTGAAAGAAAAGGATATATTTTACAAAGAAATTTAGAGTAGCTTTTCTAGTGCAGAAAGATATGGCTTAATGCACATTAATCCATATTTGCTACTACAGAAATTGGTATGGTTTCTCTTGTGAGTAAAGAATTGGAATGATCCATGTCTGAGAAGCAGGAAGGAAGGAGAACAGAAACAGAATCTGTTTTATGTAGATGGAAAAAGACACATCTTGTGGAGTTTGGTCATGAAGTTGTATGTCAGTGAGATGTCAGTAAGAATTTTGTCTGCACAAGATGAAAATTTTTCTGCGAAAAGTGCTGCTTTCTAATAAAATCACTATAATTAAATTTCCTCTCTACGTTACATTCAGTTATCACTGAACAAAATCAGCTGATTTAATTTATTAGCTGTTTCAAAGAAATCAATTAAAGAGTTCTAATTACCATTTAAAGTCACAACATTTTGTTAATGAAGATTGTTATTTTTATTAACATTATCTGCCACATCTAGCTTTTGCTTGTTTTAATTTTCATTGTCAAATTGAAAAATATGGTTTTGCTACAGAGGGAAATTTATTAATTCCTACCAACAACAGACTGAAAAATCCCCATTTATAAAGTTTACTATCATTTTGCTGTCTCTTTTCTGTTCTAAATGAACAGATGAAGAAACAATGAAGATGATGAGAAGGAGAATAAAATTTGTTCAGATATGCAACCTTGTGAATTCCTCAACAGTTTAGATTTTCACTCAAGGAAGGCATGAAGCAGCCCCTGCAGCGTTCAGGTCCCCCAGCCTGGGGACATGGGCTAAATATGTTGTGTCTTTTCAGTGCTGCATGTCTGGATTCCCTTCTCTTATAAATGATGTACAAGGTGGAAGGCATGGAGAGTAATTGGGTCTTGGCTGGGTGTGCAACAAGAAAACAACTGTGCAGAATTCCTGGCACTCCAAGCTGAAATATGGCTTCTGTTGCTATTTATAGCATACCTTTTTCTTTTTCTTCAGTGTCACTTTCTTTATATCATTAACTTCAGCTAGATACAGTAATGTTCACTTCCTGCCCCAAGCTGTACTTAGCATTCCGGAGTGTCATTAAACAGGCACACAGGTTCATGCCAGAGTTTCAGTTCTATGTGCATATGTGTCTGTAAAAATAGAATTTGCATTATCTCAATTGACTGGAGATCACAGGAGATACCTAGATCATGGGCAGGTATATACGATAAGGGGTTCCCTATCATGCAGATTGTAAAAGGTAGTCAAACCTTGGCTTAGAGAAAACTTCAGAGAAGTGTTTCTTTTATATGACTCAGTAAACTAGCTGGCAGCACCCTTCCACAATCTACAGGGTGCAATTCTCAAGTGCCCTGCTTCAATTCTATCACACTCGATGCTTTTGCATGTCCCTGGGCACACAGGGACACTACTTGCATTGTTTCTCTTCCTAGATTATGGTCTGCTTAGCAGCAAGGTGTTACTCTGCCTCCACAGCAACATGTTTAGCCTTTGTATATAGCTAACATAGGTCTGGTTCCCTCAAGCTCATTATTAGTTACACCAGCATTGCTGCTGAGCATACATGCCTCTGAACTTTTTTTAATACCATGCTACCAGGTTCTTGCTCGAATTTGGAAATCAACTGTATTGAGGAAGTGCCTTCAAAATTTGAGACAATGAGAATGACTCATGACTGGTTTCTTTTCCCCCACAGGGAACTGTTATGAAAAAGATGTAGAATTTTAGGATATCTTCTTTTTATTCACATTCTAAAGCCTTGTATGAGCAGTTAACATTCACCTATTTCAACACAGTCATTTAAGGTCTGGCCATTTACAACTTTCAGTCAGTCAGAGTTGAATTAAATGCGTGTGAAGGGTTGAAAGGGACTGAAATTGGTGAGCTGGGTATTGGCTGTTACAGAGACATGCATATCAGAGGCCTGGTAGGAAAGCTGCAAAGACAGTCCATAGCTGCCGTTGTGCTCCCTTGTAGGAAGCTGTGGCATGGGCCAGTTCTCCAGTATGCATCAGAGCATTGTAGAACTTGATCTAATGTGTATGGACTGTCAGCAGCTGTGAGAATCCATCTTTGTTGCTTTCCTCTCATCTTTGACAGCATCCCCAATGTCAGACTTGGGTGAGGTGATACAGGACACACGGCTGTTGGCAAACCTTCTGGATGGCAGGGCAGTGGGGTAGTCCTACTGCAGCTGAAAACCATGAAGTCCTGCCTGAACTAAGGGTGAACTCAGTCTTCTGATAAGGCTGTAAACAGATGTAACCAACTTTCTTCTCAATAAATCCCCAGGTTTCATTTCAGAAGAGTTTTTATGGCAAAAAAGAACTTGACATTTCTGCTGCTGAAAGCCATCCCTGCTAATAATTTTGTCCAAGTTAGGGAGGAATTGAGCAGTATTAGATGACATGGCTCCTTCTTCAAATGCTGAGAAGCTTTTGCTGATAAAAGGAAGGTAACCAATTACCTAGCAGACAGCAATTTGACTTGGAAAAAGGAGGGATTTGTGTGTGTGGTTTTTTTTTCTTTTTACTTTGTTGTAGAATTCCAGTATCAATAGGATAATACCAGGCTGGAAAACTCTGTGTCATCAGCCTCAAAATTATTTGGCATACTGTGATATAATTTGAAAGAGCATTGTTTAGATGAGTAACTAATTGGGAGTTTACTAAATACTTCCAATATGGTTTTATGGGTACAGCGATTTATTCTAGTTCTCATGAAGGAGACCTGATTTCCCAGCTCAGTTTCTATAGTAGCTGTGCTAGCTACTGTATTCAAAGATGTAATTCCCAATAAGTGACCTGATAAATGACCTGAAGTTTTCTACAGAATCTTTCCTAGCTGTGCTGTATGTGAACATCATCTCTCTGTTTTTTAGGAGGAAATACGTCCGCAGTTTGAAGCCAAGTACTCCAAGAAAGAACGAATGAACCCCATATCCGGGAAGCCAGAGCCTTATCAAGCATTTGCAGATAAATGCAGCAGACTCATTGTTTCTGCATCTGGAATATTTTTTATGGTTTGAGAACTTTTATTTATTTACCATCTTAAAAACTGTAAAATAGCATTATCTCTGCTGAAAGAATATGGAAATACTGGATATGACTGCTTTGAAGTGAAATAAGCTCTAACATGTTTATTTTAGGCTGTAAATCTGTATATAGCAAATTGCCTTTGCCTGAGTTTCTGTAAAATCCTACACTAGTTTACTCTTCACTGAGTCTCACAGATAGTTACATTCTTCCTTCAAGGCTACAGACATAACATCATATGTAGCAACACAGGGGCAGGAATAGTGATGCTACCACATTTCAGCACCAACTTCAGCTGACTAAACTAGCTTGTTTATTTCCTTGCCTTCCCTGTGTAGACAGCCCAAAGTGATGGGGAGAGAGACAATGGAAGAGGCAGTTGTTCTTTGTAAGCTCTACAGAGAACCTAACTAAAGTGCCTAGAGTGCTTAATGATGTTAATATGTTCTAGTTTTTTGGTGTATTGAGGAGGTAAGGAAAGAGAGTTCATAGTCCTAGTGAAGTTGAAATAGAGAAACTGATGTTCTTTGTCTAAAATAAGGCACCTCTCCCACTTTCAAAGTGCAAAACTAAATGCAGCAGCAAAACCTCTCCTAACAGTGTGCTGCATGCATTTCTGCTGAAATGTCTCAGTTTTCTGAATTCACTGAAGCTGTTTACTGTAATTCATACATTAACAGCAGTGGTAGGACAGGCTTGGAAAACATAGCTGGCATCAGTTTAGACCCTCATGGAATTTACAAGGGCTTTTCCAAGCAGCTATGTTCATAACTTCAGGAGCTGTGGAGAACCAGATAGATGTGCTAGCCCAGCAACCTTGTGTTTGAATGAGATGGGAAAGGTAGAGGGTTTGTAAGAAAATGATGGCTTCAAAATTGTCCAAAGCAAGCCTGAAAAAGAAAGAAAGGTAAGAGCATTATTGAGATAATTGTGCTCTGCTATGTCAGGTGGATAGACAAAGACACATGGTCAAACACCGGGCACGAGGAGCCAACATACTGTCTGACTGCTCTTGAAGGCATTTATGTCTGCTCAGAATTGGTTCTACAACTGCAACATTTTGCATATTTTTCCTACATTTTTTCCATGAAGGGGGACATTTTGCAATCCCTACCCTTTGCAAATGCAGTCTTTAATCTTCTTAGTCTAGTAATAGATCTTGCTCCAAGTGCCAGGGAGAGTAGCTTTGCTCTGAAGTGCATACACCACAAATTGTTCCCGTAACCATCCTTGAAGCAGGACAAGGATTACTTTCACTGAAGATATTTTTATTTATTTATTACTGGCATTGTGTGGACTTCAAATGAAATAGGTAAAATATTCCTTTAAAATTGTAGCCTTAAGCACAGGAGATCCACAATTAGCAATACTTCAAGTTTGAGCAGCTCTCAGAATTTCACAGCATGGACTCTCCCAGTGCAGTTACTAAACCAGTGTGAAGCAGCTTAGTGGTTCCCCATTAACAAAGTGGTCCTTCTTCCCTGCAATGCTATGCAGGGAATCCAGAGAATCCTTCACATGAACACACACTTTTCTTTTTCTTCTGCACTGGGATCATGTCGACCAGTTTTGTAACTAATAAAATTTGAACCCAGCTTGATTAGCATTCGGTGTTTACAAAATCATTTTGCCCATTCAGTTAGATATACTTCAGTTTTGTTAGGTTTGGGTTGTCTATGTATAAACTTGGAATATACCTGTCTTTTGCAAATAATCATCTTTCTTCTATGGAAGAGACTCTCCCTCCTTACCTAATAAGGTGGCTAATGGGTACTGTGTCAGAGTTTTCTGTAAGATGGGTCACCCATATTAATTTCCAACTGTTTGTCCTTTAGGTGGCTTGCTAAACTGTGACATAAATTGGTCACAATGGGAAACAGTTGTGATTTAGTGTTAAACTTTTGCATATGGAATATCAAGTGATTTAGCAGCCCAGCTCAGCTGCATGGCTTTCACATTATAACTGTCACATTTGCTGAAAGCCACATCAAAGAAGAAACCGCTAGGGCAATTGAATTTGTTACCTTCCACAGACAGAATCTTTCCAGAACTGTGGCAAGAAACAGCTTGCTGAGGTAGCTTGCCAGGGTTGTTCTTGAAGCAGTGCTTACAAATGGAGACATTTTTTCCCTGATGTGTCATGTCCATCAAAGCACAAAATCCATCATATATATGACACCATCAAGCTGGGACATCATCTTGAGATTAGCTGTGGAACAGCTAATAAGAAAATTTCTAATTCCCAGAGCTGGCAACACTGTTTCCCACATTAATGCTAAGGAAGAGGTACATTTTCAAGCAAATGTTTAAAACTAGGAGTTATTTTAATATGATTTCAAAAGACATGTTGCAATATGAAAAATAGAAAGGAGTGCACAAGAAGAAGAAGGTTCATGTTGAAAACTTTCTCTGGAATCAAAATGGATGTATTTTTCAAGTCTTTAGTTTCATTGGTTTGGGTTTTTAGAGTTTCAGGGAGAAGTTAACTCCTGTTCTATTGAAAGTTCTCAAGTTCTTCTCACTGATTTTTTCTTCCTGTAGATCTGTGTGGTGATTGCTGCTGTTTTTGGCATTGTTATTTACCGTGTTGTGACTGTCAGCACTTTTGCTGCCTTCAAGTGGGCTTTAATCAGGAATAACTCTCAGGTTGCAACTACAGGGACGGCAGTGTGCATCAACTTTTGCATCATCATGCTACTGAATGTGGTGAGTAACATATCTAAAGTTATAACCAAGCCATCAAATCAGTAGATGTCTCAGTCTGCAGACCACCAAATGCT